TTTTCAGACTTTCCTGTAAAGTGCTCTTAATCACTATTGTCCTCTCAAATCCTGACAGATGTAAGTGGCAAAAAGTGCGATGTACAATGTAACATACTCTACTTCAACTAGCGAAGTTTACATGATTCAATTGCTGTCGGCAGCCTTATGAACAACGCACAAGATATAAATATCCTAAGATTGGTCCTAAAATTAAGTCACAAATAAAAAATGTTAATCAATCTACACATTTTATTTCACATAAAAAGATTATAAGACCAATGTGACATACATACATGAAAAATAATAAGTTTGCAGTATAAGAAGAAATATATTTCGTCAATTCGCAAGGAATAAATTGTTCGAAAGTTCACTTCTTACTTTTGTAAATATAAAGTCTAAATATTCCACATATGAGATAATATTGTAATAAGTAATTATTTTTTACACTAAGAAATAAAAATCTATTAAATTACTTATAAGGCAAAGTTTCCACTATCTCATACTTTATTTACATGATGACTTTAGAAGATAGATTTTTAATATAATGCTTGGGGTATGTTGAATGAATAATTAATTAATATATTTACATAGTGAGATCTAAAAATTAGTAGTTATTTAAATGAAATAAATATTTTCGGATGTACTACGCGATTTTTTATTTTCGACTATAAAAAACATCTCGTCTGCCCGTGATCACGGTTGCTGTAAAGTAACCGACACATCGGGAGTATTTAGTTTATAGTCGAAAATAAAAAATCGCGTAGTAAAATCGAAAATATTTGTTTCATTTAAATATTTACATATGTAGTATTGATTTTATGTCAATTAACTATTAATAGAGAGTATAAACAGAATTTCTTCTAAACAAATTCTTTAAAATAACTATAATATTCCAGAATATAAACATTAATTTTAAGATTCACCTATTTAATAATCATGTGGTAAAGTTTAGGTTGATATGTATCGAGCTTAAATATCATATTGCAGGAATATCACTGCTTAACAAGTCCCTTTGGAGGGAAACACGGTAAAGCAGTATAATGTAATAGGATCGTTATTAGTTATGGTAATGTATTTACATATTTATGGAAATGTATGAAAATGTTTTCGAGTTTTAGATTTTGATATTGATGTTTATGATTGGTTGTCGATTTTTTTTGTATTCTGACTTAATTGTGTATTACAGTAAAGATATGTATACTTGTAAAAAAATAGAAATATTTTTAATTCAGTCTAGTAAAGGTAAACTAAAACCATGAAATGAAAAAATGACATGGTACTTTTTAATATTATTTTTAAATATTTTAAGATTTTGTCTTAAATAGAAAAAAAAAAAATTATTACTTCCTTATCTAACATTATTCATCACTTTATTGGTTATACTTGGATTCAATTCACTGAACAAATTGTAATAATGATTAATAGATACACAAAGGTCTTGGTAAAAACTTATGTAGACTTAAAATTCTAATCAAATATTAACATACACGATTAATTATATGTCTTTGTATATATGTATATACATATATATAGCTTAACCATACTGGGTAATAGGAGTGACCCGATGTAACTATGTCACTAGAGAGATAAACGATATATCAGCGCCTCGAGTAACAGAGTTATAGCGTTATATTGATATTCCAATTTTCCTATTAATTTACCTTAATTATAATACTTCCAAAAATTAAGGCAATAATAGGTAATGTGTCAAAGAAGATTTATTATGTTAAAATCTAACAAAAAGAGATCTCTATAAATCAAAGAAGAAAAGAATCAGTAAACTACATATATATTTATTAAATGCAAAACAGATAATGGAGCGATAACAGTATATTAAAAACAAAAAAGCTTAATTGAATTTACTTTGTCTGTAGTAAAATTGAAAAAATAAATAGATTGTTGAAATATATAATATTAAAATAGGAAATTTTGTCTTTTTTATTTCTTGTGTTGGCTTTAAATTAGAGTTATTAAAATTTTAACGTTCATGTCGGTCACCTTCTGAGTAGTGAGACGTGAAAATTCACGACTATAGTTTAAGAAACACGTAAATTGTTGCTAACATTTTTATTTTACAGTTGTACCGTGTGACCTCTCATTGGTAATTATACTTTTTGCGTTAGGATCGACCTGAGAGAACACAATTGAATGTAACATGTAACTAAGTGGGTCGACCGTAGCCTGAGTTAAATCGACATGTGTTTTCCTTTCCCTTCCTGTCGCTCACATAGCTCAAAAGGTGACTAAACATATATTTCCTCATTTAACACTCACTTACTCGGTGTTCAAACATATATAGCAATTTCTACTTTGTTTCGAAGGAAAGTAACAGAGCTGAGGATCATTAACAAAAACACTAAGTTTTATTTTAAGTGTCGAAATGTAACTGTTTGTACATCTGTACCCAATAAAGTATTCTCATCTAAAAACATTAAGTTGGTATGTATTGTATTTTGTAACAACAAATTTACCGTATCCTTAAATAAATTAAGAGAAAACAGAAACATAATACATATGTACATATATTCCCGATATAAAAAGAGAAGCTATAGAAACAAATAAATTTATTTTCTTTTTCTTACAAATACTTTATAGTTTATTATAATGGATTAATACATCAAGTTTTTTACTTTTTATATATTTCAATGAAATATGAGCAAAAATTATAAAATCAACATAATTTTAACCTGTTTTTGTTCTCGAAAAAAATATTTATGAAGACTGCTGTTTTAAAGATTCCGCATCGCGACACCATTCAAACTTATAGCATACTAGCTTTCCGCCCGCAGCTTCGCCGCGTGGAGTTCGGTTATATCGCGTTTCCAAGAGAACCTTTCAAAAGTCTGGGATAAAAACTATCCTATGTTCTTTCTCAAGGTCAACTCTATCTCTGTACCGAATTTCATTAAAATCAGTTCAGTGGTTTAGGCGTGAAAGCGTAGCAGACAGACAGACAGACAGACAGACAGAGTTACTTTCGCATTTATAATATTAGTAGGGATTGTTTTAATATTTTTTACAATTTTAAGAAAACGGTATTGTTTTTTTGTATACAATACTTGGATAGTATGAATCATTATTTGAAAAATATATACAAAAACTATGTATTTTAATAACAATAGGATAATTAAAACGAAACACTTCAAACTAGGGATGTTTAACTGAATAATGACATCGCCAGTGTCTTGTATGGTCGTTTGTTAGAAAACATTGGGAGCTTGGCGTAGATCCAGACCATTAGGTTCCAGTATTGTCTATCTAGGTCCATTGCGGAGTCATTTTAATCACGTTACATCGTATTTTCATCAATTGTCCTAAATTTTATCTCAACAATTAATATTTAGATATCAATGATGTGCAAGTTATCTAAAAATAATTGAAATAAGTTTTACGTAACCATAATATTATGTAAATAACAAAAGAACAACCTCTGATTTATTTCTTGAAAGTATTTTTCGATTATCGGAAAGAAAGTTTTAATTTTTCATAGGTACGTATCTTTGATACAAATTTTAGTTTTATCAAATTTCTTAAGAATTTTTAATTTCTTCTCATAAGTATTACTTATACTAATTGATCGAACTTAGCAAATGTATAACCTTATAATAATTTTAGACAATTTTTAATGTATATATTGTTTTTTGTTGTATGTACTTCAAAATCTTGTATATGTATATACTGATCATGATTTATAACATGCTTAAGAAGCTTTGAAACTTAGTGAAAGGTACTATAGATAAAATATATAAATACTGTCTAGATATTATTTATATTTATTAAAAATAGATATTATAGAAATACAATCCGTCTAAGAAATACACTCACAAGTTATGAAGTATACTTTATCTTTTATAGGGATCAGGTTATTAGTTTTAATGAAAGGATTAATTTCTCAATGATTACGTACTCGTTAAGATTTTTGTAAAATTAAATTTTAGTATTAATTTAATTAAGCCTTGCAGCGAGAAAAATATTATATTTCTATAACATTGCAAACAAATATTGTTTGTTCGAAAGTTATAAAGTCTTATGAATTATTTTGGTTATTTATCTTTATAAATAACTTAAACTTATAATATAAACAAAACAGTTAAAGCAAGTTGTAATATAATATTATTATACGCCAGAAATAAATTTTGCTGCATTCTATTCATCGATCTGTCTGATGCTAATAGCCATGCGAGTGTTCTTAAATTAGAAATGCCTACCGAGGTCCTGGTAATGTTTTGCTCTGCTTAAATATAAAGTTTAAAATTAGTAAAGTGAATTAGCTGAACCTTTTGAAACAATATGAATTGGAGAAGATTATTAATGAAAATGACACATATATAACATTTGTAAGTTAGGGTTTTTTCACCATCATCATAATTTTAGAGGTGGTAGAGCCTAGCTGTGGTCAAGTTACTACAGCTCGAACATGGGCTGGCTCGACCGGGGAAGTACCACCCTCTCACAGAAGATCGGCGTGAAGTAGCCTTAATTGCTGCGTTTCGTTCGATGAGTGAGAGAGCCGGTTGCCCTTTCCCTTTTTCCTATCCTTTCCTACCCCTTCCCATTTTCCTCCCCTTACCATTTTTCCTTCCCCTCTTCCCAAGTCAAGGGTGGTGACACATCCGCAACATGTCTTATGTCGCGGATGTCTATGGGCGACGGTACTACCTCCATCAGGTAGGCCGTCTGCTCGGTTGCCCCCTTTAACATTATAAAAAAAAAAAAAAAAATTCTTTTAATATATGGGCAGCTGATTATAACAAGACCAACTGCCAAACAATCACATCTCGTCTGCCAGTGATCACGATTGCTGAAAAGTAACCGTAACGTCGGGAATATGCAGTTAAAAATAATAAAACGCGCACAGTAATCCGACAATTTGTTGCATTTATATGAATATTCGCGATAGTCTTAGATTTCATTATGTGAACAAGTACGAACTGGAAATGGCCAACAAAATATGCCGGTTGAAGTACCTCAAGAGGCTGAATACAAACTTACATAAAAATATGTAATACATAACTCACCATTGAATATATGGACGTATATACTAGCCGGTACCGCGTTGTTTGGTACGCAGGTGTAGTTCCCGGCATGAGAAACGCTCGCCGCTGGAATCAAGAGGTCAGACAGCCTCTGCTCGGGGTCTGTTGTCACATTGATGCCACGTTCCACATCGTAATTGATCATACGACTATTATGGTACCTAGAAAATTATCGCAATATGTTATAATGAAATAGGTTTTTAAATTATAGCCGGTTATGTTATACGCTCTAGAAACGCCTCGTTTATGATGCTCTATTTAAATTATAGAGGAGCGGTAAAGGCCGAGCTAAGTACCTTGTCACTCACCTATCAATATTAAATAAGTATAAGGTGAATAAAGAATATTGGTTTCCTATTATCATTGTGATTTCTTTCAATTGGTTGTTAAAGCTTTGAATCGTACTCCGCATGAAAAATATGTTTGTTTTATTCGACCCAAGAAATAAATATTTAAGACCCTAAAATGACTATTTTTTCCAAATGCTTATTGAATAAATCTTTTATTTGACAAATTATACACGCTAGTTTGAATACGTTTTAAAAAGCTGTGAACGATTTCTTTTGATAAAACTTTTGAGATATCAAAATGTATTTTGAATTGGGAACAAGTAAGACAGTTAGTTAAACATATTTTCTAAGCCGCTAATAATATAAATAATAAGCATGAAGTTCAAATCACGTACATTTTCCTCGCAAAACGCTAACCGACACTACGTGTTCGTTCATTCTTTATTCTCTAATAATAATTTTATTCTGCTACTGTTCGTCAAATTACAGCAACTTTTTATTAACTCTGTTAACAGTTTTTCGTTCTTCGTTATATAACTTATCTTTGACTCTCTAGATGACCTGTGAATTTCAATTCACTTTAACTAAATTTAAACGAAAATATATAAAAATAATTTATATTAAAGGCGTTATCCTTGAAATCTTATTCGTTTTGCGGAATATGATAATCAAAATAAAATTGCTTTGAAACTAATTTCATAAAATTTTAAACTAACCCAACCGCCAAGACAAGACATAATTAGGTAATTTTTGGGAAGCTCTAGAAATTTTGGCACGCTGGAATACTAACTTGGCAGAGCTACATACCGAAATAACACTATTGGGAACCTCGATAAATTGGGAATGATGCGAAAATTGGTTTGACAGTTTCAAAGATAATTTCCTTGTCTCAAGAACTTACAACTTGGGGAAACTTCGGTAGTATATAACATTTTATTCAGCCAATAATGGCCAATATTACTCTCAGAAAGGTTTACCTCTGCGTAGAATTTATGTATATTATTTCTTTCATGTACGATGTAATTCTCATAATGTAATATTCACAAAAACAGATTTGTTTTTATAACAACTTTTGTTGTTGTATCCCTAAAGAAAAGTTATTTTTCTTTAGATAAAAGGTTCGTATGCTCGCTGACCTTTACGACATGTATGCAACACTTCAGATAAAGTTACGTCGTAACAAAAAACAAAGTGTGCAAGATACAAACAGATTTTTTAAAAAGTGTTGTGTATTGTGTAGAAAACTTTCTTAACTATATATACAGAGTTAATAAGTATACCCACAATAATATTTATGTTTTATATTTAGTAAAAAAAATCCATTCGTAAGTTACACACCATTCATTTGCTTCATTTCGTAAATTACAACTATAATAGCAAAGCTGTTTAACTGACATTATAGTTTGTCGCCAGGATTTTAGTAGCTATTGTCTGCTGAGATTAATTTTACGAGTTCAAAGCACTTTGACGTGTAATGAAATCGTAAATTCTCTAGAGACACAGATAAAATGTATCATTTATATGCAAATGGACATATTTTTCAGATAGACCTCAATTCTATATTACGGACAGTTTTTTATTTGGGAATTAAGAGACGAAAAACAAAATAATTGATATATAATTTTATCTCAAATAATGTACATAGAATATCTGTTATAATTTTTACAGCAAAAAAATATTCTCATTTCAACTAATACATACACATATATACACTATACATGTAGTTAACTGACACAATATATGATTCACCGTAACCAATTATTGCACAATTTAATTTAATTTTTAACTAGCTATTGTTTAGCTTCTACTTACCATTGTAGCGTTCAAGCCGGTAAATGCAATTGTGAATATAAATAATAAAACTAGAATACAAACCAGAATACAAAAGCAGGTGCTTCAGTGGTTTGAACCACCGAACACTGTAACCGCAGCATGGAACCCGGTTTGAGGTACTTCTCGGTTGGTCCGGATATTTGAGCTCGAGCCTCTGAAATAATAGTACGCACTGTGATATGCTATTTACCATACTTTAATTTCTTATAAGACGAAATGTGCTTCATTCAAGTTGGATTATATGACAGAGATATCTATTTAGCGATATTATCTTTTTTATATGGTTTTTTTAAAGTATTTTTACGAAGTTTTTTACTATAAAAAGTAAGTATAACTATACTGTATAAGTAGTATTCATTATTTAATGCAGCACAATTTCACATAGTTTGTTTATACCTTTTTGCTAATGGATTATACAAATAATATTTATATTACATATTAAAGTATAATACTGAGTTATTAAAACATATATTTCTTGTGTCATTAAAGCTATTATATACATTAATTGTCTTGATTTTTTTATATCTACATAATGTAATTTTAAACCGATCTTTTATAATTAAATATTGAGTATAATGTCTCGATGACCGAAATGCTTTGGTGAATATTAAAGCGTTATCTTAATATTACATTAATAATGTAATATAGTAATCAATATGAAGATACAAACGACGAGTTGTGTGCGGAACGGAAAGTTGATATCATATTTGATGAGATCTTCCTTAAAGGGATATAAGCGTATTATTCCATAATAATATTGTAATGTTCTTAATTAAGAAATATGATCATTTTGTTTATATAAATAAAAAATGTTACATTTTACAACAAATTATAATGATCCGATTCAAAATTTTAGCCTTTGATTATACTAGATATTGTAAAAATAACTTTCAATTTCATAAATCTACTAATAGTGTTAAGTCAGAGAGACTATTTGAGAGCTAAAATTTTATAAGACTGAAAGAATTTCTTAGAATATTGAAAATTATAATAATTATTAATTTAATCAAACAATAAAGTAGAATTCGTTTATTATCATCATGATATTTATCGGGATAAGATATGGTTTAAAGAATAGGTACATGTTTTATATGACGTATCAGTTTTAATTGCATGATTTATAAAATGAGAATGATTCTTAAATATAAAGGTTTATATATGAAAAAGTTATTGCTAATAGAAAATTAATTCTCTACCTTTTGAATGAACGCATGATGAAATAATTTAAGGAACACCAAAATATTCAACGAGAAGCAAGCAACAACAGAACGATAATATTAATTAAAGAAAAGCAATACATGAGTTTGGGACTGAATAAATGGAGCATCGAATTGTTTTCTTTTAATTCGCTCACCCATGAAATATACGAGAGGAATGATCGGAAGAATATTAGGAAGTACATATATGTATATATATATCTTTTTATTATGGATATTGAATGCTGTATATATTAAGAAAAATTTGATAACCAAATATATTTTGGAGTTGAGTGTCTTTAGCATATGTTTTAGTGACTTATTTTTTATATGCAATAATAAGATTACTTTTAAAAATTTACTTAAATAAATTTAAAAATGCTTACATATTTTAATAAAGTAAAATCCATTTGCCTTCTTGAATGACTGCCATTGGAACGGTTTATTTTATTTCAGCTTAGTTTTTAAATGTTTTATATTAAGTTACTGTTATACTACTAAAATATGTTATCACAACAATGGATAATACTAATTCATTCTTGAACTCAGAGTATCACAGAATTTTATTTCGAAACTAAATAAAATGTAAATGTATTCCACAAAGTCATTTTGTATAGTCGGTCGCAATCACTATGAGTTTTTTTCAAACCTAATTTGATTTAATTCACGTGGTCCTTGAAAAGAAAACCATTTATCTTTATAGTTTTCCAATTTCTAAGGGTCTTAGAGTGCTATTCAGCATTTGTTATTCTACAGCACTATTGGTAGAATGATAAATGACAAAGCACTTTATAAATTCCAAGAAAACCGCATAAACTTAGTATACACGAATGCCGCACGGAATATATAATTGGTGTGAAGCAAAATGACTCAACTTACCCTTTCTCGAAATTAATACGTTATTTGGTTTACCAATTTCAATCTTAATTATATATTATTTATTGAGGACTGTACGAAATTTAATTATATTGTGTTAGATTGAAATATAATATTAATTACAAGTGCTCAAAGATAAAAAAATCTCTTTAAATTTTTAATAACTGATAATTATTATTAATGAGTTTGGTGGATTATCTTATATATTTGTATGTAAGTATAAAGTATTAGTACATAAATATCTTAAGAGCGTTAAAAATATAACTGTCAGAATTTGTACTACAACAGAGTTTTCAACGATGACACTTAATCGCATTTAGTTTTTAAAATATGAATGTATTTTAAAGAAATAAAGATACTTTTTACAACTTACCTACAACATTAAGCCGCAGGAATATACTGGTTGGCGGGTGTGAGGATACTTGGCACTCGTATATACCGGCGTCCCGTTTTTGGACGAAACGAACTTTTAGTGTCCAGTCCTAGAAAATTTGAATTTTTGAGCAAACATCAAGTCCCCTTTTATTAAAGCTCGTATCGCAACAAACTAAATAGAGAAACATATATTTATTAAAAGTTTATACCCTATAAAAATATCGAACCAAAAACTTATGTTATGTGTAAAATGTGTGTTTTAATTGTACCTACTCCATTACATATACTATATACGTATACGATGCATTGCTTGTCAATAACTTACTTCTGAATGCTGAAGGTGAATAGCTTGAAATCTTTGATCTGAACTATAGGTTGTCAATCCTACTGTCAATAAATGGTAATCTTTTCTTCGTATCCACGAGACCTGAAACAAAAAAACCATAGTTACAAGAGGTAAAAAAATTAAACTGAAACTTTAAGAAACCATCGAATAAAAGTCAAAGCAATTATTTTGGTCTAAAACGAATCAAACAGTAATTTTCAGGTACAAAGTGCTTCTTAAATATTTAAAAGTGATAGCTAGATCTAAAGGATCAAATAAACCAACACGACAAAAATTTAAAACATCGATATTTTTTAAATATTTTTCTAAGATTGTTATAATTGTTTTAACAATAAATTGAAATACACGGTACTTGTGGTTAAAAAGCAATCAAAGTTTTTATGACAGTTTTAAAAAATCTACATTTTTGATTGAATAACTATTGTGGTACTGAATAAAACAATTAAAATCAAAACACATTTCAAAAATATGGGTTTTTACGTATTTAAATCTCACTTCAAATATTTCGGTAGGATATTTATTTGTGGATATCTTATAACATATAAAAATCTGCGAGCCATGACATTGTAAAAGGCAGATTAAGTTATTCTGCGTAAGGGAACTCGGAGCTTGCATCATAAATTTTGAGGTTGTTAACGAGATAATAGTCACCTGAGCAAGCATTTTATTATCAATTCTACATCAAAGACTCAGAAATTGATTAATATCTGTTTTAACTACAATGAAGTAAGTCAAAATGACGCTGGCAATCACATATATTTTCTTTTCTTTTATTTTCGGGACAGCATAATCCCAAAAAACGTCAACAATTTTTTTTATAGTTTACTACGAACACTGCAATTTGACTCTGTGAAACATCTATTTTTATAAGTTTTCCCAAATGAAATATCAACAAACACAAGTTTCTCGATTTTATGGTACTTTTTAAATTTAATTTATTTATATTATACATAAACCACCAAGAACCTGAAAGAATTTATTTAAAGCCTTTATAAGCAATTGATAATATAATTTTCTTATATTCGTTTAAGGATTGTCGTAAATAGTTTATAAGCTCGGAAAGGAGTTTGTGAGTGCTTAATTCCTGTTGTTAACCTTTGTTATATGGTGCCTGAACTTTTCCCTGCTTATGTAACGTTGTCGGAGCTAATATAATTTCTTATCTTGGATTTCTAATATTAAATTCCTGTAGTTATAGCTGTTAATATGTATCAATAAAGTTGACAAACCCTGTCCACATTATTGGGACTTTATACATTATTTTAAATTAAACAAATGTCTAGTTCTTTTAAATTTCTTTTTTTATTTCCTCTTGGGTATGCTTTATAACTATTAGAGTATTATCACAATAATAGAACCGTATCAAAAACTTCAAAACTGTAATAAAATATACGTTAAAATTGTTCAGTATATAAAATTTTTCTTTAGTTTGATGATTTCTTATTTTCATTGTATATATTTTGCATTAATTATAAAATTATTTGATTTCATCGCATCCATTGGGAATGTGTTCTTATCCTATACATTTTGAGATTAACGAGTCTGAGCGACAAAAATTCCTCAATTAAATCAAGACCTCTTGAATTGCCAGTTTCACTCCATCGGCCTTTCTAATAGCGATTTCGAAATTCAGTTCAGAAAGAAAATTTACAAAAAATCAACCAAGAAAGTTTTTTATTACTACGGTAAAATATAAAATGTACTTAAGGACCTTATTTTATGTATTGAGATATATTCCTTAATTTATTTACATAACTGTCTCAAAAAGACTTCACAATCAATTTATTCCCTTTTTTGAGACAGGAAAAATCCAAGCCCACATTTGACTTATTTCAATCTAGACGAGAAACTAACAAAGATCAGTTTTTTTATGTAAGCAAAATCAATTAAACTTTGCTCTTATCATTTATGTTTTATATCTCCGTTTTCTTTTTCTAATTTTCAATTTATACACCAAATACAAGATGTAAAATGTGAGTTCTTTTTGATTACTTCAAAATAAAAGGAAACACACGTGTTTTAAATAATAAGTTCACACCAAATAGATTAAGACTGAGATGAATCTTCTCAGCATTCTATGGATTCACCGTGCGGGTGGCGGGTCCACCGCGTTACTGGCAGAGGAGCTTCAACAGTGCCTGGGACTTGCAACCCAGATATAGGTTTAAGGAGCTCCTATGTAAAACGCACTACAAGCTAACCTAACCAAATTTGAAACGAACCTACTAGGTCTCCCTTTGAAGTGCGTTCTAAAAATGAATTGGTGTTAGTTCTGGAAATAAGAAAAATAAGCTGAAGTCGTAAGTCAATAAACTTAACTTGTTTCTTGTTTTTCATTACATCCTTTTGAGATAATTAGTCGGCTGTTATTTCATTAAAGACACTTCTTATTGCTGTTTATTTTATTTAGCAGAATAATTAACATAATGACTGTCTTAAAGTATCATATATTTAACAACTGGATGTTGGTTATTTATACAAATGTATGTAAATAAGATGTTTATTTTTATATATAGTTATCAACCCTTGCATATTTTAATTATTATAATATTATGTGGAAGACTAGACTATCTATCGAGAGCGATAGTAGGTCAATAATTTTAGCACACTTTCATGTCTCTACAATATTACATTTTATATTCTTCTTCTTCTACCTGGCAATTTCCCAGCTTTGACCAGGGTCTGCCTTACATGTAGTGAATAGTTTTGGCTAATTGTTTTTACGACAGGCCGCCTGCCTGACATCAACCCTCTTTTGGGAATGCATTAATCAGTGATGTCTAAATACTCTTAGAAAGTACATATGACTTGAAAAATCACATTGGTACTTGCCAGGGCCAGGATCGAACCCGTGGTCTCGTGCATGAGAGGCGGGCCTTTTAACCACTAGGCCACCATTGACATATATTATATTGTATAAATGTTATATTTCCACTAAAAGAAATACTACAGGTGGTTTTAAAGAAATCATATCCGAAACTCGTTAAAACAGAAATTATTATTTTTCATTAATTTCTTAATAACCAATTTCTCTTAAGAAATTTTTATAGCAACATATAAAAAATTAGAAAACATATTTAAGTTTAGCACGAAATAAAACTCGCCGTTCTTTCCTAATATATCGATTTAGACGAAAAATATCATTTTCTTGAGACAATTTTGAGAAAAATTTTATAACAATGTTGTCGTAAAGTAAGCTTAAAGTTGTTTCTTATCTCGACATCTTTTATAAAATGGGACAAATTTGAAAAGTTCCAGCGTTTATAATGGGTGTTCGGGATTTATGAAACGGTGGTTTTATTGGATCGATTTTTATCAAAACTTATAGGATTGTGTATACTCATTAAAAACCCTTTATTTAAATTGATAGAATGTTTTGAAATCAGAATGATAAGAAAAAACATATTTCCTCACAGCTGTTTAGCCTTACTTTATCTTTAGAATAGCAAAACAGGTACTAGCAGTATTTACACATTTAATTAAAATATTACTTTCATGTTATTAATAGTCTTCATTATTATTTCAAATAAAAAAATGAGCTTGTTTGTATATTGAGATCTAAATTTTTCGCTAGTATTAATTTAAGAGAAACTAATATTTTTTTGATTACTCGCGTGTTTTACTATTTAAATACATACATATGTAGTCACAGAAACGTCGGCGGTATATAATTTTTGAAATAATAAAATGTTATGTTATATAATTATTAGATTGTGTTTTAAAATATAAGCTGCTATTAATAACTATTGTAAATTGTTAAATATTATCTCTGAGAATCACCTAAAAATTTCATGTGAAATTCAAAATGGAGACTAAATAAAAATGTGTATATTTCTCAGTATTTATTATGAATTTAAAACTTAAAATATTTTGTTTCCCTCAAAGTAGCTCAACTAAAATAATACGGCATAAAATCTGTAATACTACGTTAGTGAAATAATATTTGACGGATACCATGAAACCCTATTAATTTAATGACCTTACTGTTCATTCGATCATACCGGTGTGGCATATATTCGTAACATCAATCGTAATGAACACTCCACTTATATAAACGATCGTGTTACTAATACTTGAATGCACTTGAATTTAATGAATGGTAGCCGTTGAATAATTCAGCAGCTTTTGAAGATTTGTCTCTGAGTATATCGGGAAATATCTCGAGTGCTTCATATCCAGTATACATTGTCAGATATGTATTAAAATGATTCGTTATATAGGTTAAGGTTACAGTTTATACAAATAATATAATCTTTTGAAATAACCATGAATAATAAATATATTAGATTGCTGTAAAGTTTCACCACAGAGTTCCAAGAATGCAATAATCATAACTATGACAAGAAGTGGAGCAGTTGCATTACTAACAAATGAGTGTTTACCAGAAGCAACCATTCTGTATAACACTACATACGAAATGCAATTTGTCGTCGAAGTAATTTAGTTATGACGTCGTTTCAAGTTATTAATACATAGTGTTTACTTATATCACTTAAGTGACCCCGTGTCTTGATAGACTCGGTAATTAATAGAGAAGAATCTACATATACCGAATACCTTTATGTTTATGGTCCCATTAACATGTTTAAACAATAGGTTTTTTATGATTGTATCAGAAAGTAGCTACAAACATAGTTACGTATTAAGAGTTATGCATTTTTAATACTAAAAATATTTAGTGTACCATAAAAAAGTGGAGTAGTTTTGGTTATTTTATTTATAATTTGGTTTAACATAAACTTACTATGCCATCTCCAATATTTCTTATGACACACGGTAGTAGCGCCGTCGAACCAGTCTGTGAAGTCACTACTGTGTTGTTTTCGGTTCCAAAATGTTTTTCTGGTGTTGCGAAAACATCATCGATAGGGGGAAAAGAGACGGTAAGCTCGTTCTGATCTTCTCTGATGGTTGTAGATTCTGAAGTTGGGAGTGGTGATGGACCTGCAAAAACATAAACTATTGTATTATCCTACTAATATTATAATTGCGAAAGTTTGTGAGTGTGTGTATGTTTGTTACTTCTTCACGCTCAAACGGCTCAACCGATTTTGATAAAATTTTGTATACAGGAAGCTGACGTCCAGGAATAACACATAGGCTACTTTACATCCCGGAAATTTCGGAAATCCCGGAAATCCGCGGGTAACATCGCGGGGCCCAGCTAGTCTAAAATATACTTAACCGATTTCATTATTATGGAATAATAATCCCAAATTTATAATAAACGGAATGAAACAACAGGTTGCTACTTGTAAGTTAATGTGAATCATTATATAGAACGATATATTTCGTGTATTTTTTAAGTCGTGGCTTCTTAAAAACTTATATTCTAAAGAAAACCTTTAAATCTATTCTCAAATGTTTAAGGAGATTTTTTTTTGTCTAGTTATGTAATTAGGTCAATGTTTTTTTTTGAGATTTTATTAATTTTATGAGTAATTATCTCTAATATAATTATGTTTTAATTATCAAAGTTGTTTCAGTGAGTTCTTAATTATTAATTATTATACTAAAAATGTATATCAGATTAGTATTCATTATTTAAATACATAGTCAGAGTTTGTTTAAAGTGAAATCTTTGTAGTTTTATCTATTGTTAGAAGTTTTTACATTTTTTTTAGTTAATATTTCTTTAACCCAGCGATAATATTCTAAGAGTAACGATAATAGAACTTATACTAATGTCAAAATCTTCGGATTCAATGGCCTTTTGCTTCATTGACCACAATGAGGGAATCAGAAATGACGATCACGAAATGACAATAAGAATGCAAACATTTGGTATAGATTACCGTTTCTTTAGTTGTAATTTACATATTATTTCCACTTTATTTTTAAATTAGATACATGTTTGATTTTGATATTGTTTTTAAATATATATGGAAGTTAATTATGGAGCTGAAATCACTTAATTTCATGTTTTGAATGTATCTTTATAGAGAAATCATTGCTAACTATACATACTTACCAATTGTTGTACCAATTTAAATAATTCAATGATTGAAGATGCGATAAACTCAGACTTAAAATGCAAGCTTTTTTGTTTTTTGTATAAATTGTTTTAGATTGCTGATCAAACTTTGCTGAGAATTGAAGCAGAAAACAAACATATATTTCCGTTGTTTGTTTTACAATTTGTTATTACTCACCCCAAGGATGCTTTTATTTAAATGGGAAATAATTTGAGTGCAGAATATTGCTATGAAAATCCTCAAGTGTGGCATAAGTAATGCTGGAATGATTCTTATTCTTATATTGATATCGTTGAAATGAATTTATGTCAGAAACTGGATGTTAGTGTAAATGTGATCAAGGTTATCTGAAGTTTTTCAATTATGTTACCATATTATTTTTTGACTCATAAAATGAGGCTTCATTTGGAGTCAGCACATGTCATACTGGTAAATATTATCGTTTAATATAAACTTAAAATGAAAGATTATCTACGCAGATTAACGAAACTATCTAAAAGGATTGGTAATAACAATCACAATAATCAAATAATTAATTTTGACAAGCAATTTAAGATACAAGAATCAATATATTTTATAAAAGTAATGAATATTATAATATGTATTATAATATAAAATATTTTAATTTTAATTTTAATTTTAATAAATATACCTAAATTACAATTATACGATAAAAAACAAATGTTGGTTTGTATCGCATTTATACTCAGACATTTGTCAGGGCTAAAAAACTCATTTAATGTATTATATTTTGAAAGAAATTTTTAATATAAGAAGAATTCACGAAATAAAAAGTAAATGCGTAAAAAATTCTTTTATAACAAATCCACTGTTTACTCGGTACTCGTTAGACAATGCCGAAGGCGACTCAAATAACCTGCTACTCGCGTCTTGTTTGTCAGAGACAAGGAATAATACGCTTTTTAATTTTTACTCGCCAGAATTTTTTATCCCCTTTTAAAAAAGCGTTTTATATTTGTAAACAATATTGAAAATAACACTTAGATGGATCCGAGTAATAATGTCTTTTCGATGGAAAAAGAGAAAAATTATAAAAGAAACAATTTGATTTCAATAAAATATTATTGAATTTACTCTCCTTTTGATAGTTAAATATATAAGAAAAAACAATATCTTAATTTATAATTTATCATGTTAGGGTTTATATTTATATCTCTTTAATATTAATATTTTTTATGCATAATACAAACAGATTTATTAACTACTCGCATATTTCACTTCTAAGTAAGACAGCAAACAACCAAATCAGTACTGACTCCCTCTATGTAAGCGACATTCCACTTTTACAGTGTTCCAATTTCATTCGTTCATCAAAACGAGAATTCAGCAAACATGTTTACAAGCAGTTTTGTTTTTGCCGCGAAATGCTCAAGCAAGTGCAACAAAGGATTTTATTATGCCTCGGGTCTTTCATTTGCTGGGTGAACTTTGCACGCGTAATGATGCAGTGAGACGTTTTTGTGGGAATAAATAAAAAAATAAAGGTTCATTGTAGTTTTATTCGTAATTTAAAATAGGAGTGAATTGAAAAGAAGGTACCTGTTTCATAAGGTTGTTGCAATGTTCTTTTTGAATTATAATATGTGTATGAAAGTACTTTGTTTAGAAAAGATAAGAATTGAAAAAGATGTTCGACATATAGGTACGCTTCTATTTATTATAAAATCAAAAACAATAATTAAATAGGTAACAAACAAAGGTACTACAGAATTTTTATTCTAAAAAGGATTTTTTTAAGTATAACATTTAAATTCAAATAAAAACTACGAATGTCGAGTAAAACATTAATTTAAACGAGCAGGATTCAATACTGTAACCTTCTAAATATTACGTATCAGTTGCTAATAAAATTTTTAATGCCTGTTGAGTATAGGCTCTAAAATTTAAACAAGTCGTCAGTACACAGAATATATCGGCTTTACATTATTTATTTTTATTCAGAATAATATTTCCAATTTTTATTTCTTTAGGAAAATAGTTTCATTTTAATTCAAACATCCGAAATGCTCGAAGACCGTTTTATCACTCTATGTGCTTACTATTTAATTAGACTTCTAATTCAAATTTCAAAGTATTTAAACAACTTATTTCTTGTTATATTTTTCTATTTCCTGACGCAGCCTATTTGAAGAAAATAATTTCAAGATACAGTAATTGATTAGATTAGCGTTCCCTTTATTTGTATGTTGGCAACTTGCCTTGTTGTTGAATAACAAGTTTAATAAGAGTATTGTTTTTGTTATTAGACGAAGTCATATGTCGAAATTGGATAAAGCAAACGTTGTCAAAATGTTACAAGAGTCAACAATTGAAAGTTCTTTTATATATAATATTATAACAGAAAACATAATGAACTATAAATCATTTTCATCGAAAATTTTACATAAAAGTTCAAAATGGGAATAAATGACTAAAAAAGAAATATACTTTCTCTTGTTTTTATCGAAAATTATAACAATCTTTTATCAATAATAAATAAAGACTAATTAAAAAGGAAATACATTTTCAATAGCACAATAGTCCATACGATACGCCCATTGCTCCAGTATGCAAAATTTCACAATGTTTCAATTAAATAACAGGAATTAATAGGTATTTATTGTGAAAAACAAGGAATTTCTTTTTTTATATTTTTGTATTCTACGAATAGTAACTTCTCTCTGGATCAAATTTCGAAGTCCAAGCGGACAAAATAATGAATAGAAACTGGCAAATAAATTTTATTTCTATAATGGCTAGGAAATAGGGGCGAGCGGAATTTATGTTCCTTAAATGAGATATGCCTGTTTAAAAAATGGTTTCTACAGTAATTCGCCCTTCCGCATCATTTTTGATTACTAAAATGTCAAAGGATTTTATTTGGTCTTACATTTGATTTTATGTACCCCGGTAACATTAATTAATTAAACTTTTTGAGATTTGCCCGTGTATATATATACGAGTATATGTGTTAGACTCTCCCATTGCTATGGAATCTATCCATGGTCACTTTAACCCCGTAACATAATTCACTCACCCTTTTAAAATTCAACCTTTAGGCCTCGGCCTCGAATCTCGCGGGGAGCGGGGCGGCAGCGGGAGCGGCAAGATCATACGCGTATAATCAAATGGACCGACCCTCGAATACAGCGGTGCAGGAGCAGGGCGGGGGCGGGCAACGAGCGGTGCACGGGTGCACTCCAGTCAAGCGGTGACCGCCCGCGTTGCGCGTCTGCATTGTAGTGTTGTAATTTTTTTTTTGAGACGTATCAAAATGTATTCGGACGTACAAGAGCAAATTATTTCGGCAATATTTGAGAGGACACCCTTATGGAACAGCAAAGATGTGAACCATAAAAATAGAAGACGAATTAACCAATTATGGGAAGAAATAAAAAACGAACTGAATATTGACATAATAAATATAATAATGATTTATTATTTCAATACAATATTTATTATCTTTTACAAATTAATTAGTAACTAATGCGATTATTTACAAAATATTCTTTGAATTTTTCACGTGTAAGCAATTTGTAATTGTAAACAAAAGAACAAATTTCTTAGAAAGTTCGGTATGACTGTCGAGTTTATTGCGGGTTAGGATAACAAAGCGACAAAAGAGCGTACACAGCTGCGCAGTTTTTACTAATTTTAGCCACTTAAAAGGTATTTTTTATTACTTAATTGTTGTCGTTATATAGAGTTTACACTGATTTACTAAATTAGTACAAAACAATTTCTAAAAGATATAGATCTAAATCGTTTTGAATTAATTCCAGACTCTAAATCACTCTTGATAGTTTCAAGAATATAGTCAAATGTTTCTACACTCATTCTGGTGTAGTCGTAGAATCTGTCAGGATTTTATCTCTGTTCTTTATAGTTTCGATAAAACTCGCCATTTATTTTCCTTGCCCTATAGTGGGGATCCACTTCTTCTTTTGCCCACAATAAATCGAGCATTAGGAATGATTTCGAATCATGAAGATGTCGCCGTTTTTCAGACATTTTGTTCGCGAATAAAACAAATATCTCGACAACACAACCACGAACACAACACTACACCGCTATAGTGCCGCGCGATCTGCCCGCTAGTTTCGAGAACAGGTATGCGTTGCCCGCCCCCTTGGCGCGCCGCTGCCGCTGTCGCCCCGCTACCCGCGAGATTCGAGGCCGAGGCCTTACAAGTGATATCAACACTTATATGTGTATAAGATTTTTGATATATGAAATATCGTAAGATTTGCTTGTGGATAAACTCGTGTCTTAATTTAACTATTGATTAAGTGTAATTCTTTTATGTAGACCAGAAAGAGAAATCCTGGCTTTAAATTAGCATTCCATTTATATATTTCTTCTATCGAAATTAACCGTAAACTTATTTTCACGAGTAAAAGGATTTTTTTTCATAACAAAAAAATATTAACATTTTCTTAGAAACTCACAGGATCCATTTTGACGCTTATTTCATTTGAAATGGAAATTACGTAAAGAAAAAGTCTAGAATTATTTAAGCTTAAGTTAGCCTGTTAATGCGCTAGACGGCCTACTAATGAGAAGATTTGGAGCGTTAACTGAAGGTAGGCCATGCTCTTGGATATTTACATTTACCCGTCTTTCTGTTGAACAAAATAAGCCTTGATTGTAACCTTATTAAGAACTTTAAAGGTAACATGTTTAATGCAAAATTTTTAAATACATTAATTTCTCGTTTTTTTTCAAGGAAGAGTATATACTGGTACATATTTGTTCTAGTTATTAATAAATATTGTATAATCGAACGTAAATTAAAGCAACAAACAAACGTAAAATTAACAGTGTTTTAGATATACAGTACATTAAAAATATCTTGGCTTGATGATTGTAAGACTTTTTTTATTATTTAGATAATAGCTCTTACCTTCTCCCGTAGTTATAACGATGTGGATAAGCAGAACAATTATCCTTAAACACTTCTGCCCCTCCGACATTGTTGTCGTGGGTTCTGTACCTGTAAATAAAATCACTATATTACTGTAAGAAGTATGTTTCAAATAAAAATATTTTTTCATTAAATCCCAAATGATCATCAAAATATGTGTGACAAAATGTACATTTACATTTCATTCATAATTAGATAAGCGTAATACAGTTATCCCGTTACTACTGTTACATAGATTTTCCCGAGTGCAGATTTCTACATATATTTATATATTTGTAATCGATCTGAAAATCATAGTGTTATTTAGTAAAGTTTAATGTAAATTAGTGTGATATTTCTGTAAATATGAATTTATGTCATTCACGGGTCAGAGGCTGCGCCCAATAGCATTACAACAAAAAATGAGTTGAACTTGAGGGTTTTATGAATATGTAAAATACTTTTTAACAGGCCCTCAAAAATTAGGTCAGGCCATTCAAATAATATTATTTTTCAATGTTAATGAGGTTCGAACACGGCTACCTGCAAGCGTACTTTAATTCTAGCTTTTTTCACAATAAACTGTACTGTTTCTCGAGTAATTAATGTAACTTTCTTTCTCTACAATTTTTTAAAATTAATTTTTATACTCAATGCTATCTAATTTGTTTTTAAAAACACATCATGATTAGTGCCAGGTCTACTAAGAACTTAAAGAAATAATCATTGCTTTTAGCCTAATCTATAAAAATACATAATATTGAAGGAAACTTCTTCACGCACGGATAATTTAGGAAGTTAGGAGCAGATGTAAGTTGGCGAAGACAGAATAAGAATGAATAACGTTTCTTATATTACCTAATATTATATTATTAATTTATAATTTTATGGTACACTTATGAAAATAGGTCTGTGAGAGAGGAGTAAGCATACATTTTCATTATCTCTCCCTCTCATATATGTATAATCACATTTCATGAGTATATCTAAGACACAGTGCAGTGAGAACAAGAGAGAGCACATGAAAGTTATGTATAAATATACATAATTTTGTGTCCCTGAATTCTATCTACATGTAACTGATAAGGTGGATTCCATCCAACAGCAAAACATTCTAGTCTGCTTATCAAGTGTATATTTCATAGAGAATCTGGAGGATCTGAATGGAGAAAGAAATAATGGCGGAATGGAATAATCTTTAATATTTAATCTAATATGTTGTCCGTAAGAGGTATGTCCGATTATGTTATATACGTATTTAAGTATAAGATATACGTGTTACTACATTACATTACTAAATAGTATAAAAATTAAAATGCAGTAGTTTTTAGTTTTTGCTACTTGCATCCTATCAAAATATATGTAAGACTCGTTTATTCTTAAAAAATCATTTTTTTGCTGTATTAATAAACTAACATTTAGTTACATTATGAAATAACTATGTGAAAAGAGACAAGTTTGAGTTTATAAAATATTTTACTACGTCCTCAGGCCAAGAGGAAAGTTGTAAACCGCATGAGCTCCTCTAAAAATTCTGAAAATAATTTTATAAACTAAGTTCATAACTTCGGGACGCTTAATTAACTCAGGTATAAAACTGATATAATTTTACTTGAACTTTATGCATTCCTCAGTTTAGTTTGAAATTTATTCTCGAAATAAAACTTTTTTTTATTTACACTAGTTTCAAGCAGCAGTCAACAAAAGAATGTAGTCTTGTGAATTTTAAAACTCAAACAAAACTTCACCTGAGAAATGTTTTATGTAACAGTAGCTCTTGTAATTACGACTGTAGTGTTGTAATAAATAGTCAATTTGTAAGTAAAAAAGCAGAATACAAATTTTACAAAGCAATGCAGGTATTAATTTCTAGGTAGAATATAAATTCTCGACCAAACAAGGAAAGATTATAAAGTGTAAAGTAGCGGTGGCAAAGGTTTCTCTTATCTTATTTAGGTTTGTATGACGTAAACTTTGAATAGGATTTTTCGATGCAGGGAACTGATGTAGGAAAAAAGTAATTATTACAATAGAAAAACATTATATTAATATTCTCCCACTACATTTCACCACACTAGAAAACAACTCAAAAGAGCGAAATAACGGTGTGAAATTCCAAGGGTTTCTACAAAATAAAAATATAAGAATTAAAAAATTATGTACTTGTAATAAAAATGGGTGGAATGAGGTAAAAATATTCAAAATGAATAAATATCTATTGATCTCATTGAGACACTAACTTGAGTACACTGTGGGCTAACTTTGTCTTTTTTCAAATGAGACAAAAGAATATCATAATTTGAAGCAATAAATAAAATTAATGATGAGATAGTGGAACACAGTAATACATCAGTTTATTTTTAAATAGTACTGTCTATGCTTCATCTCTGAATAAGTTGCTGGATACACTATTAAAAATAAAATTGTTAGAAGGAGAAAACTAAACCGTCGTCTATTTTAGAACAGAATTCATTATTCAAACGTAACAACCAAGTGTCAAGCCATGCCTCAAAGCAAAAGACCGCTTTGCCTATTAAGGAAGACAAAAAACTATTCAGGTAAATATTACAATCTTATTGCCCATTAGAATTTTACGTAAAGTCTATTACATATATTTGCAATAACTCTCATGCAAGACAGAATGAAATGAATAATAATAAAACATAAGAAAATGTATAGTGATTTTAAGGACAGAGCGTTGCAATTTTTTTTTTCTCTCAGACGGATCGTCGAGTTACGGTATTGGTTGAATTGATACAGATTAAAACAAAACATTGTTTTAAGTAAAATTAACAACAGATATTGTTTATATTTACTTTCTAGATAGATCATGTTTGGCTACTATAGATAATAGAACCTTAGATAGTACAAGCACTGTCCCTTAGGCCTCGGCCTCGAATTTTGCGGGCAGCGGAGCGGCAGCGGGAGCGGCAGGATCTTACGCGTATAATCAAATGGACCGACCCTCGAATACAGCGGTGCCCGCTGCCCGCTAGTTTGGAGAACAGTATGCGTTTCCGTGCCGCCGCCGCCGCCGCTCCGCTGCCCGCAAAATTCGAGGCCGAGGCCTATAAGATCTTATTCACTCTGGTCTTAAAGATATTTCAATTCCTATTACTAGGAAACAATAACACATCTTTCGTTATACGCAAAAAAAGAAAGGGCAAATTACTGACTGTTCTAAAAATCAACTACACCACTTTTTACTTAATCGAGATAACCAATAAACGCTCTTAACAGAATCTAACTGTGTGAGGAGGCATGTATACAGCATTTGCTGGACTGATGTTGCTGATAACAAAATGTTGGAGAAACAGTTTCTAGCCGTGATAGTTAATACGTTAGGGATTAGATTGCTTTAATTCCCTCTTTTTGTTTTTAATGACTTAGTTAAAAGCCCTTGTCTTAAAACTTACATCCAGAGTAATATTTATATAAACAGGATGTGCATGAAAACAAAAAAAAAAGCAAAAGTTTCATAATAATTCGCCCTGCCATTACTTTAAACAAACATTGTTCCTTCAAAACTTACACAAAGGTTATCCGGTGTTTAATTAACCGTGTTTTAAAACCGAGCAACAATATAAAAAGAAATTTAAAACGAGATTGTAAAAGTTCTAACTTTTTATAGCATCCTTAAGGAGTGTTTTTTAATCTCGAAAAGGTGGCATAATGAATAGAGCAATAGTTATACTTAAAGGTAATTCACTTGGTAATGTTCTTTAATTTTGTTATCTTTCAAAATATTTACAGCTTCAGTAAAGGTAATAAATAAGTTGCTACTGTATATTTTATGTTCGTGACTGTAAATATATATGATTCCATTATCATTTATGTATATGGTAACTATTGTATTAAATAAATTTTAATATAAATATACACTACACTCAGTTTATTTGGCTAGCTATGTTAATATAAAATTTTAATAAATCACGAGAAAAACTATGCAAAATAATATATAAAATATAAATGTTCATGATAAACTTATATTGTCTGAAACAATGTAGTCAGAAGCCACATCCATAATTACCTTCGTCAAATTATATTACACTGAAAATTTACGAGCTTTTCAAATAATACTGAAAACCGTCTAATAAATAAGATCATATTTCACAATAATCTTATTAAATCCGGAATAGTTTACATAACAAAGACCCTTCTAGTATTACAGCTGGTTCAGATTTGGTCTTAATATTGTATTGTGAGGTCTAATAAAGTACTATTCCAAAGGGACTTTACCCATGTTTACTTGAATAGAATTCAACGAGGGAATAAGGCTCGGCGCAGTGCCGTACATCCTAAGCATTTTGCATTTGTATAAGGATCCATTGTTATTCCAACTTTAAAACTCTTCGGCTTTGTTTATACATTTTTAGTAGGTTTAGTGGCTTAGAGGTGAAGTAACTAAATTTATGTACTAAATACTAACAAATATATTACGGAAAAAGGCCGAAGTCAGAAGTATCATTAGAAAAAGTCTTTATAAATAGCAACATTCTTTCATTAAAGGCAAATGAATTAGTTTTATTGAGAGGAAAAGGCAAGTTTCAAGTTTATTTGTTTTACTAATGGTACGCTGTTATTTGTATTGTGGCGTTGAAATATTTTCCAGTTTTTCTCTGAGACTATATTTTGTTTGAGTATTGTATCAAAAATATTGAACCCACTCAGAAGAAATATTAATATATTACTTGGAAAAATTATTTCATGTATGATAAGGTTACGTTTATCAGAAATTATAATTTTAAATTTTGTTTTATTCAGGGAAACTCTTTTTACTAAATGAATTACTATCTAATATTGTGTTGGATAATATCAATTCGTCCAAAAGAAGTTTCTCTCTTTTTTCTCTTACAATTTTTATTTAAAACATTTACAGATACATAGGCTTTTACCTAATCTGAGCGATCCTGAAGTAAGAGAATAATTTATTATAATTTTTTTTTCTCACCGGGAAACTCACAACAATTGTAAAATCATGAATATGATACACTATATAGAGATTAAAAATTTATTGATATCACAAATATGAAACATAGACATTACTATTATCGTTTTAAACAATACTTA